GTCAAGCTGAATTTAAAATACTAAAGCCAATTAGCAAAAAACCCCAAAACCGAACAAAAAGAACCCACGCAGCGGCAGCCCCACAAAAGAGATGTGCAGGTTTCATAGAGGTCTGAGGGCTCTTGGTATCGGTGATGTCTCGGGGCAGCCCCTGGGTGCTCTGGGAGATCTCTGGGATCCCAGCGCCGGTTGCTGTTAATTGCTTCTGGGCGTTTCTTGGAAATATTTTGTCAGAATCCTGTAATACGGTAGAAGAACTGTTGCACTGCTCTTCCCTCTGCTGTTTTCTTGTATTTTGGTCAATTCTCTGACCACAGAAGTTTGTTTATTGGTGCAGCCGTGTAAAGGGCCTCTTCCTCTAGGTCACGGCACGGCCACCATACATAGCGATGCCAGGGCAGGTTCATTACCTGAGCGAGGGCGAACGCTGGGCCGCGGCACGGCAGCTCCACCCTCCCGCGGGACGGTTCCTGGGTGACGCGCGGGGGCTGCGGCACGTTTCCTTTCAGTGGTGGGTTACGAATGGGAGATGTGGCAGCGGCTGAGGGTGGCTCTTGAGTTGCTTTGCTGTCTCTGTAGGTGCTTGAAGGTTTATTTGGTTCTGATGCAGAATCTGAGCATCCGTGTGCAGCAGCGGTGTCTGCCGGGGGGCTTCTGGAAGGACAAAACCATCCTGTGGGTACCTACCGTGGGGCATTTCGGATGGTATCGCAGCTTTGCCTTTACAAGGTGGTGTGAACTTCAGGCATCTGGAAATCCTGCCTGAAGTAAGGCCAGGGCAAAAGGAGTCGGGGTTTGAGAGCTGCACCTCACCTGGGCTGAGGCTTCTGCAGGGGAGCTGTGCTGCACTCCTGCCCAGAGCGGGGAAGCGGCCTTCCTCTCCAGGTCAAGACCCTTCCTCTCCAGGTCAAGACCCCTCCAGGGCAAAACCCTTCCTCTCCAGGTCAAGTCCCTTCCTCTCCAGGTCAAGATGAGGCACCATAGGAGCTCTTTGAAAACACTCTGTAAACATTCCCTGGAATTTTACAGGGCCTGGATATTCCCCAAAACAACAGTCCTCCCCAAACCAGCCCTAACCACGCCAGCCCTGTGCCAGGGCTCGCCGTGCCGGCTGAATCTGGCACGGTCTCGCTGGTAACTGCTGCGCAGCGAAGCAGTTCCAGGATCCATGGCAGGACAGGATAAACCTGAGCTGCGGGCGAGATAAACTGGTGGCCGTAGCACACGGGCTGCGTGCCGTCCAAACGGGCAGGCGCAGAAGTGAGACCGACAGCTCTGAAACCGAGTGGGGCAAATGATTGTTCCTGTTCCTGCTGTCACCCGGACGCACGGGGTGTTCATCTTGTGGCTCGTTACTTGCCCAGGCAGTGAGGGGAAAGATATTAACAGCCTCACACTCCTTTCTGACAGTAAGAAGGGAATTTGTGCAGCTTTGGCTGGCAGAAGTGCTCTTTTTCCCCAACAAGAGTGGTCCTGCTGCGACAGCAGCTTCTTCCTCCAGTTTGCAGCTGGTTCTCCGGGGCAGGAAGCTCCATTAAGGCACTTCCAACCTGCTGAGACCAAGCCACCAGCGCTGGTGGTAACTCTGTGGTCACTCCAGCACTGGAAGAGATGTACGGGAGGGACCTGTGCAGCCAGAGAGGAGCAGCAGCATGGCCTGGGAGGGCAGGCAGGCTCCAGGTTTGCCGTCGTTCCCATCCCAGTACGGCATCTTGCACACTGACTGGGAGCTCAAGACCCTGATGGGCCTTTCGGCCGTGCTGACTTCATCTTTGAGAATTAACCCCGCTAATGCACTGTCTCGAACGTTGACTCTAGAGCTCTGCAGGGGTTTTGAAAGGCAGGTTCGTTCGTCATTTTCCCTGTCACCCAGCTCACGGGCACGGAATGACAGATAGAGGCTCGAAGCTGGGGGGGAAATCGGCGCTATGGTCGCGTGGTATAAACTCACAGCATGTTTCCTTAGGATTTTTCTGCTGGTGTTTCCGCTGCTTAACGCAGCTGGTGGAGATGCTTGAGACAGGGCGAAGGGCCAGGAGGAGAGCAGAACCAGAGACGCACCCCAGCATCCTGCAGGGACCCGTGTGGGCACCGGCTTGTGGCTGGACTCCTCAAGGAGCACGGGCAGAGTGAGCGTATGTTGTCTTTAATGAACACTACGACAGACAACTCGCCTCCTTCCAAAAGGCAGGCAGCCAAGTCACAGCTTGTGATAGGAAAGGGAGGTGCTGCCCGGGGGGGAAGAGAAGAGCCCTGCCACAAACTTAAACCCTTCCCCGGGGGGCAGGAGGGGTGAAGAACATACCCCAAGTGTGTCACTGCGGGGGTGCCTCGTAAACCTGGGCTGGTCTAAACCCAGGCACCGACCCCTGCCCCTGCGGTATCCCCCAGGCAGGGCAGAGGCTGCCCCCGCCACGCAGATTCACAGTTTGCAGCAGCTTTAACTTGCTTCCCGGGACCTCCTTCGGTTCCACCGCTGCTTCGGGGCCCGTCTGCTCACACAGGTCGCTCGCACCAGGGCTCTGATACGAAATGTTTCCTTCTGGGACACTTGGGCGCTGCTTTCTCTGCGGGCTAAAAGGCAAAGCCCAGCTTTCTCCACGCCCACGTGCACAGCTCGCTCTGTTCTCAGGGCCAGCTCTGGGTAATGCCGTAGAAAGGTTGGCGGTTAACAGAGCTGCTCAGGACTCCAGTTCTGCCCAGTTCCATGTTCGGGAACTCATCTCCTACAAGGCAAGAGGATGAGCAAGGGGAAGGCAGCCAGAAACCTTCTTCCTGCACTGACGAGTGCTGCTGTTGCACAGCACAGGGGTCTCCTTGCTCCTGCCTCATCCCTGTCCCCTGTTTATTTATCTCCTGTCATTATGTGAGGCACCTGCTCAGCGTTTAGCCTGTGCTGGTCCATGTGAAACCCTTCCCTGTTCTGTGCCAGGACTTCCAGGTCAGCTGCTGTTGTTCATCCAGTCCTGTCTGGATTATACCTGCAAAATCCCCTGAAAGTGCTGGCCCTGCTGTTTAAAACAAAACCAAAAAACCCCCTGAGATGACACTTACTTTAAAAGAATGTGCAAGGCTGGTTTGTAGAGAGGTTTAAACTGACCTTTGTGGTTCATAAAACTGCTTTGCTATGGAGATTGGCAGTTAGGAACAGCTAAAGTGGTGGTGGTGGGAATTAATTAAAGGCATCTTGTATTGTCCAGTCTGGTAGGACAGGATAAATTAAAAAACCCTCGAACGGCGCGTGCTGCTTGGTGAGGGCCCGAGGCAAGGCCGGTTGTGGACCAGAAGTGATTCCCCACAGCTTGTAGGAACGGGGATTGGGTCTTTAATGGCTTAACCAGGAAGGAGCACAGCCCTCAGACCCCTGGATTCCAGGGTGAGGCCCTAAGAAAAACTGGAGGTTTGATTCTGAGTCTCCTCACGACAAAATCAAACCCTTGGTTCCACCTGAGGCTTACTCTTAGAGTGGGCAGTGGGAGCTCCCCCTTGCTCGAAAGCAGCTCCTGTTCCCTCTCCCAAGGGCAGGTCAGATCAGCTCTGAGAAGAGAACAACGGAGTGAGCTGGATAAAAGGCTCCATCTGTCACACTTCACGACAGCTATTTTAAAAATAAATTCTGAGACTTTTGGTTCTTTCTGGTGCAGTCTGTGGCCTTCTGCCAACTCGATCCCTGAGTTGTAGGACTGTGACCAGGTCCCTCCTCTCCTGCTTTCTGTATTTATGGGCACGTTAAAACCTGAGGGGTAGCACACGCTGCTGAGGAAGGACATAAAAAAAAAAAAATAGATGATAGCAATTTGCCATTCTCCTCTGAAAAACCCAGCAGCACTTTTGCTCTGTTGTTGGACCTACTGGTTCTGCCCTTGCTGCTTCCAAGGCAATAACTCTCCACTAGTCCCTTTCAGGTGGCTGCTGTAAGGGAGGACACGGGGAGCTGCCTTCTGCAGCCCCCAGCTGAGGGCACGAGCCACCCGTGTTCGCCCTCGCTCCCCCATCCTCACGGTAGAGCTGTCTGAATCCATCGTAGTACTCATCAGTCTCCAGGGCGTCCTCGGGAATTTGGGCTGTGGTAGGCGTGAGAGGTGCTAAACCTGGCTGGCTTACGGCGCCCCTCAGCCTCGCCTGATGGGAGTTCTTCAGTCCAGCGGGGTTGTGGGAGGGTCGCCTGGCCTTGGGACGGCCCTGGGTGGCTTGACTGGTAGGACAGAAAATATAAACAGCGTTGGGTGGCTGCAGGCGCGTTGGCTCTCGAGCCACAAGCTCTTTGCAGTGGATGAATTCGGTGCTGGTAACCTGTAAGGCAAGATGCAGATTTTTTTTGGTAAGTTCACGATAAATTACTCTCTCTTCTGGCCACTGCTCCTGGAACTCTGCCATTAGGGAGAGGGCAGGGACGGGCCGTACTGGATGCCTCAGGAGATGCGTAGCAGCAATAAGCCCACAACGTGGCCCTGATGGTAAGCCGACAGCCGGGGTCTTCACCCTTCTCGGTATACTCTCTTAAGAGGCATGTGCTTTATGAAACTGGAGAAAAGCTTTAAAAAACCCCAAACAGAGCGTGTCTTTAGTGTGTACCATTAGAAGCCAAACTGATGGTATTTTAAAAGCAACGTAACCGTACTTAGAAGCTTTTGCAGCGTTCAGTGGGGGGCTGTGACACGGCGGAGAGGGTTTGAGGCGCTCGCAGACACTCCCATTGGGGGAAAATCTCTGCTTGCTCAGGAGGCAGGGGGCTGGCTGTGGTCACGCGATTTGGAAAGCCCCCTTCCCTGCCAAAGGGAAGGCATCTTCCCCAGTGCCGGCCTCTAACCGCAGTTTTATTCCCTCTTTTGTTAGCAAGGTCGGCAGCAAAGGCAGAACATGGGCACGTGCTTCTCAGAGGGCGCTGAAGGGCCACGTTGGGGGTACACACACATGCGCTTTATTCACTGACTGGTGTCCCGGCCTCCAGGTTGGTGACCAAAGGCCATTTTGATTCCTACCTGTGCTTTTTTTAGCAGATCAGTAATAACAGGAAACCAATCAGGAGTCAGCCTCTCCAGCTCCAAGGTGATGATCACCAAAGCCAACGTGGAGCCCTTAAACTGCACCAGTTGGTGGCAAGCCATACAGTGCTGTAGCTGTTTGGTCAAGAGCGCGACGTGGCGGGGAGGGTTCACATCTGAGGCAGCGCGTGTAGTAGATGGGGCCAGTTGGACATCACCATGGCGTGGAACTGGAGAGAAGAGAAAGTGTGTATATATATATATATACATATATATATATTTAAAAAAAAAAGCAGAGGTCAGTGAACTTTGTCTGTTTTCATATGTTATCAACCAGAAGTACAGACTAATTTCATCTCGTATCAGGAAACTTAAAGGGTTTCCCCCCGCCCCCCCTTTTTTTTGTGTGTTTTGTGTTTGTACTTGCCAATCTTCAAACTGGGTTTTTTTGAGCTTATAATGAATGTACAAGGTCTGTGTTTCCGAACAATTTCTGAAGTTCCTACGTTATCCAGATATTGCTATCCAGGAGATTCAGTTCAGGCCAGCAGACACGAACAGAGTAAACCCCGTAATGACGACCGCGCTCTGAATTTACTGAGGGAACAAGCACCTAAGAAAGGCAGTTTTCACAATCAGCAGCCCAAGATGGCTTAATATTTGCACATAACCTTAAAAAAAGGGATCCAGGATGTGTTCGTATCACATGATTTTTGCCTTACTAGCACATGATCGTTTCTTAAAGTTTAATTGTTTCTATCAAATGTTTAGTAATTGCAGTGTGAACGATGTGCCAGGTTCGGGTGGTCTCGTTGCCTAAAGCAAGGGTGAATAACTGGTGGGATGAAAGGGAGAATGGCTGAAGAAAAAAAACCTGTGTGTGAAATGTAGCAAAACTCCTGACAGCTTTCTCTGTACAGTATTAATAGAATGGAAATAGTTAGAAATATTTTTGCAGTATGTATTTAAAAAAAAAAAAAACAGAACAAAACTGGCGTATAGTTGTGCATTATGAGAATCTTTTTAACGTCCATTTTAGTTGTCCTTTAAAGATTTTTTGAGCAAAATGAAAGGTTTTAACTAGTAGAAAATTTTGAAAATAAATTTAAAAAAGGATCACTGTCACTTCTTCAAAACACTTGCAGATAGCTAAGGGCAGGTAGTTTGCAAAGCACCTCGGGAAGGACGTGTGGGGGTGTGTATGTGTGCGCATCTGTGTTTTCTAGTCTTATTTGGGAAGGAGCTGTTTCTTTAAAGAAATAAAAACCTGCAAAACGTAGTGCTTACGATGTTTAAGAACTCCATTGGTGTTGCTGTGTAAAGATCCCAGTGAAGCTTATCTAGTATAATTCTCTCCATTCTCAAGATCTCAGCTGGGGAGCGTTTACAGCCACTCTGCACTGCGAGCATCTTCACCGATGGTATTACCTGTTAAAAAAAAATTAAAAAATAAAAAAATAAAGAAATAAAGAAGCCAACGTCCTACAGGGTGCTGTGTGTGTTTCTCTGTCCTGCGAAGGGCTCTGACAAGTTGGTACATCCCAGCGTGCCGAGCAGGATGCTCGTTCAGGAGCCCCTTTCCTAGGTCACTCCCATCCTCAACGAACGCTGGCCCGTGCTGGCCGCTGGGCAGCTGGCCCCAAACCCAGCCCACGGCAGGAATGATGCCGTTCGCCTCCGGGGTCCCTGTGAACCTCCTGAATGCTGGATCTATTGGCAATGACCTTCCCTGCCACCAGTCTCATTAGTTTTGCTGCTCTGACGAGGAGGAGGCTTCCTGTCAGCCCGGCTGACGGGGCCTTCTGTGGTTGTCGTGTTCCCCGCGGTCACTGACTCAGCTTCTCCTTTTTAGCTGAGCGGGGAAGCAGAAGAACCCCAGCGTGACGCACCCTAAGCCATGCTACGGAGGGCATTTCGCTGCAGCAGAGGAGACATGCAGGCCTGACTCCAGCTCCTGGGTTGACTCAACCTAGGCAGTTCGTTCAGCAGAATGAAGGGAAGAGGAGAAATGGGATCTGAAGTGCTGTTGGCTGGTGCTTGTGAATGCCTGGAGAAGTCTCTCGGGGCGCTTCTGCCGTGAGAGGTTACCCTGAGCGAGCTCACGCTGACACGGGTAGCTGCTGATTCTCTGTGCTTACCTTGGGGTGCAGGCCTGAGTCATTTCCTCACGAGGTTCAGAAACCAGTTTCAACTCCAAGGCAACTCATCTATTTTAAGCTTCCTCTGAAGAACCTCTGCTCTGGCTCGCCCACCTTACCCTCCCAGGACCTCTAACCACAGAATCACAGCACTCGGTGCTGTGGCATGAAGCTGTAAGGACACCCAGACTAAGCTTCACTGCGAGCTGCGGATTCTGAGGAGAGGAGAGAGGTTTAAGGGCAGGAGGTGGGAAACACGCCCATTACATAAGCAAACACAAGCTCTTCATCCGTAAAGGTCACCATTCTGCCAAGCAGTGATGAAACAGGACTGAAAATGTTACTGTCAGCCCTTAAGGACGACGTAAACAACGCTTCTCATTGTGCCCCAGTTGTTGAAAAGACCTGGAAACATGAACAACTTCAACACAAGAGAGGAGTTTCGGGTGTTTAAACATACAGACCTCGTCTTCTTCGTTGGTTTTTGCTGCAAGGACAAGGCAGGAAATTGCTATGCACTGCAGATACTTTAATTGGGCCTGAAGGGAGAAGAAGAAAACACTGAGTAAAGAAGATAACAGTCTCAGGGGAAATAATTATCATTCTACGACAGATGCACAAGTTTCAAACCTTCCTTTAAGTTACAGTTGCTTCTGAATTGGTTTAGCTGCAGACAGATTCATGTAGCTGGAAATAGATCAAGGAAGTCCAAAGTGAAACAAAGTAAATCCTCTTGGTCAATTTCTATTCATGTATCCCACAAGTTTTAGGCTATGCGATGCCGCAGTATTTACCATGCAATGTTATTCCTCTTCTCAGCCGAGATAGTAATTAATTAATAGGCTTTTGCCAAACGCTGGTATTGATCGAAGTAGGATTGAGAGCTGCAGGGCTCAGTTCGACTCACAACTTTGCTGTTGCTTTAATGGCAGAAAAAAGTTGGCCCCAAGGTTTGGTTAAAAATAGTGGTTTCCAGACTAAAATATTAAAAGTGATAATGCGGACGTTTTCTGTTTGGCAGAGACGACCAGCTGATAAGGAGCTCTTTGCACTTAGCACAGCATTTGGAGTACAACTCACACAGACGCTTCTACTGAGGACTGTAAATCAGCAGAACCTCACCAAACCCTCGAGTTCACACAGATAGTTTTGCTTAAAGCCTTCCCCAGCAGATCCCCTGAGTGCTCCCTAAATCTGCTGCCAAACATAGCACCTGCTTTGTGTATAAACTGATTATGTGCTCTTTACATCCCCCATCGGTAATCTAGCCAGGAAAAAGCTGACAGAGCTTCTCTACCTTTACTGATGCCAAGAACCGGTTCAAGATGCTGGTGGCCAAGGCAAACGTTTCAGGGTGAAACTGGAACCGAGTGCTTGTTTCTGCAATCCAGAGAACCGCTTTCTTGTAACACGAGAGAGAGATATCTGTGCCCTGAGGGGAAGGAAAAGTTAGAAGAAAAATACAGTGAGTGCTTTGATGATTTTGTTAATCTATCTCCAAAGGAAGACTCGACTGATTCGAAATGCTCTCATTAACATTGCAGATGTCTGGAGGCTTGAAATGGAGAAAGTTGTTGGCTGTGTCTACAGAGTGAGGGCGAGGCCACATTCCGGAGCAGTTCCCAGCACCCATTGGTGTTGTCAGGCTCTGGCTGGGCTCACAAGGGCCTGCCTGGTACTGGATTGTACTGGGGTGCTGAATGGGGCAGCACCCAGCCCTCCCCTTGCAAGGCACTATGAACCACTGAACTGAGCTCTCACAAACGAGGTGCTGAGGGTGCTCATTGTTTCCCCCTCCTGAGAAAACCGAAGCCTCCAGTGGAGCACGGGTTTCGTTCAGCCAGCCTCGACAGGGAGAGAGGAACTGGAGCCAGGAGCAGGTTTTGATTTACTCTTCAGGAGTTCTTTTTTAACAGCCCTTGAATTTGCTCAGCGTGGGGACCACAGAAGCCAGGTTTATGACTCCCCCAAGGCTCAAGGCAAAATGTGCTCTGGTGTTTTTTTTTTCTTTCTTATTTAAAGCTGCCTTCAGGGGAGAGGAAGGAATTTGCTCTGCCATCACGATGCCACACATGACCCACGGCATGTATCACAACATCACTGTAGGAGAACGGAAAGGGCCGAGCAGCTGCGCGGAACAGACAACACTGACCACCCCTTCGCTTCATAGTGCTCGTCACATGATCCCTTTTGCTATTTTGCTTTATTCGGTAATAAAAATACCTGGTAAAAAAGAGCATTTCTACACTATTGCAAAAAAAGAGGCGAGGCTGGCAGGGCCCTTCTGTGGGTTCTCCCACGGCCCTGCTGCAGGTGACAGCAGCAGTGGAGCAGA